ATTAGCATAGTACGGAACAAGGCTATCACACTAAGGGTATGGATAATCTCCTGGGTAATGATAATATTATTCGTGGTAGTTCTACCAGGTATAAAACTACTCTGGTTAGGACTGATAAGGTCAGGGAGAAGAGGACTAACTCTGTTGACAATAATCTTGGTAATGGCCTTATAGGTGACATTGCAAAGGTTAATAGGCCTAAATTGTTTAATGCTCTCAGGGTTGTCAAGCTTATGTATGAGGACTATCTGGGTTTTATTGATTTCTTGAGGGATAAGTTTATTGTGAAGGCAGGTCTTGATGAAGTGGCAAAATAAGGAGCCAACAGTGTTCCAATATTGATGATAGAAAATAGCATGAATGCCATCTTTGCCTGATGCTTTGAAAGCTTTGATGTTTTTGATAGCATGCCATATCTTAGAGTTGGAAATGGGGGCTAAGAGCTTATCGTTGGGTGTGAGTCTAGTTCTAGCAATATTATTCCAATCCTCAATAATAGTAGTCTCTTCATACTTGAAAAGGTTAGTAAAGTGGTTACTTGAGAGCTTTAAGTTCATTCATTCTAGTAATCCAATTACCCTAATCATTTTTAAGGGCATTAATTTTAAGTTTCCTCCTTTTGTTAAGTGTAGAGATATGAAAAAATCTGGTGTTTTTGTCCCCCAAAGTCAGCCATTTGGATCTAGATTTTTGAAACCAGAGAATCTCTTCTTGAAAAAGAGTGTTGTTAAATTGTTTAACCAGGTCCTTTTCTAAAAAGTGGAGATTATGAGAAAAGGCAAGTTCTTGGGCTTTTTGGATACCCTCAATGCGAGCAAGAAGGGTTCTTTTTCTCTTGAAGATATTACCAAACACCTTTTTATTCCAATTTTTTACATTGTCAGTAAAGGTATCAATGGCTTCAATTAGCTTATTAGTCCTATTTAGCCACGAATTCTGAATAACTTCAATAAAATTAAAGTGACAAAACCAAGCAACTTCATATCTAAAAGGCCGATTCAGAGGGTTAGACGGGTGCATACCTTGGGTGAAGTCCACCAAGGAGGAGTGGTCTGAGTATGTGTGAGGTAGAGTCCTTACAGTGCCTTCGGGAAAGAGGGCTTGCCATTGGTCATTGCTCATCTCTCTATCCAATCGTTCCATTGTGTTGGCTAAACCTTGTCTGTTGTTGGTCCAGGTAAGTCGAGGACCTACACTGCTCAAGTCAATGAGGTTACAATTGTTGATTCTGTCTCTAAATCGCTGTGATCTGGTAAAGTTATGGTTGGGGGAGAAGCTCCTTCTTTCACTTAGGTCAGTGAAGTCGTTCAAGTCTCCGGCAACCAACCAAGGTTAGTGCATATTGTGAGTTGTCCTCTCCAGATCCTCCCAGAGATTATCCCTGATTGTTGGGTTGGGGCTGGCATAGACTGCAGAAAAGATCCATTCTTCATATTCTTCTTGGTGGATGGTGGCTTGAATATATTGATTAGAAATAGAAAAGGTTCGAACATTAACATGGTCTGTGTCCCAGAGCATCTAGATTCCTCCCATTCTACCTATGGGATCAACCACTGTGGAGGCTGAGAAGCCCAGATTGTTGAAGAAATTCTCTAGGGAACTAAATGTAACTTTAGTTTCCATGAGTACTAGTATTTCAGGTTTATGGGTTTTGAGGAGTTCTCTTAAGTTGCACTTGAAGGTGTTGTTTCCTGCCCCTCGGCAGTTCCAAATCAATATTTTCATAGAATCCATGGATAGGTATTGTGGTAATGGGTTAGAATCCAGTTTCGTGAGGATGCTACGAATCCTACAATGATCTTGGTCTATTGACCTCATGGATGGCATCTGCAATGAGTGCACTAGAGGCCATGGTATGGTGCTCCAAACTGGTTCGATTCTCACCCTTAGTTGTTCGATCCACTAGATTGTGTCTACGCAGTGAATTGCTTTTATCCCTGGTGCTAGTAAGAGGCTCAACGTATTGCCCTCCAACTGGTGCACCAAACTTTGTGGTAGTGGGGTTTCCATGATCTCCATGATAGGTTCTAGGATCTGGTGGTTTGCTGTGACGCGAATCTCTATCTAATAGAGAGGCTTGAAGGTTTGTGGTAAGGGTGTGTGTAGGGTTTAGGGAAGTAATAGCATTGGGGGGTTATGGTAGATGTGAGGTAGGCCTATCTTCGATGAGCTCTTCCATTGGGATTTCTGAGGATTGTATATCTACTTGCAAGTGAATAGGAGTTGCAGGTTAGGTAGATAACTTTACAAGGCTAATGGTGACTGACCCCTGGCTATTTATAGCTGTGAGATGTAACATGACACATGTGTTGGCTTGTGGTTCTGGTACTACTACTTGCGAAGAGGTTACTTGGTTCGAAGATGTTCTTGGGTTTCTTAGACTGTGGGTGGTGGGCTTTTTGGTTGAGTGGGCATTGTAGGCCTCTTTCTCTTGGCCTCATCTTGTAGTTTTTTTTTTTTTTTACCTTTGTTATGTTCCTCCTCTTGTTGGCTAGTGTTGCTTAGCTCCGCATATTTATTGAAGTTTGGGCTAGTCTTTGGATTGTGGGCCTTCTTGTGGGCCGTTGGGCATCTGTTTTTCCTTTGTACAAGCATCCAAGGCCCAAAAGCTTTATTCTCTTCCTCTAACCCATTCTGTTGCAGGTAACCGTTATCTACCGAAAGAGCCATTTGGGAGGTCTCTATAATGGTTGGTGGGTCACCTGTTGGCGGCGAGCTAGAGTTTTGGGTCATCTGATGTGTTCAGTGTGCTGTCTTGAATCTGCAAAGCTCCTTGTGGTGGTCCACCCTGCCACAATGAAAGCAAACTGAATGAATAGATTCATATTCGATATTGCAACTTTTCTTACCTAAAATGAATCTGGGACAAAGTGGTTTGCTAAGGTCCACTTCAATGCAAACTCTTGCAAAGCACCCTCTTGTGGCCATGGTAGTAGTGAGATCAATCTTCAAAGATTTCCCTAATTGCCTCGCAATGGTATATAGAACTTTTTCCTGAAAGTACTTAATTAGAAGCTCTGGAAACCTAACCCAGACAGCTGTGGTAGTTTCAAAGGCTTCTGATGCCTTGAAGCCAGGCTCTCATTTGAGTACCATTAGATAGTGATCCATGATTACCCATGGACCACCTGAGTAAACCATTGCACAGTCCTCTTGAGAGGAGAACTTAAATAAGAAGTAATTATTGCCCAGATCAATTGCATCGAAATCATCTTGTATCCCCCAGAGTGTTTTGACTCGAGAACAGAGCATTCTATACCTTATACGCTTTCCAAGTAATCTGATGAGCAGAACATTGATCCAAGGTTGTCTGATTTCTTTCAATAATGTTTTTGTGAGAGCGATTGTGGGTATCCCATTGTCCCTCTATGGAGTATGCCCATCTTGGATGTCTGTGTCTCTATTCTCATCTTTCTCCTTAGTATTGATGATGTCTTCTAACTCATTAAAGTAGAAGCCTTTGCTTCTGGGTGCTGCGAGGGCTTCCTTGAATGATTTAATTTTGGGTCCCTCAGTTGGTGTATCTATCATCTTAGGGCTAAATGTTTGAGGTGGGGGTGGGAGATTTTCTAGGAGAGAATCCTCCTCAGTGATTATCATCTCTTCCTCCCCTATGGACTCTTTACTGTTGATCTTCTCAGTGTTGCGAATCAGATGGTCTTCCTCTTCCTGTGATTTTTCTTTGGGGTAAAAAATGGCAGTAGATGTTGTGCTCATTCTAGAGAGAGAATTTTCCTAGAGTTATGATAATTGGTATACTCTTGACTGACCAACTCATCTATCATTCAAGAGTGATGCAGAATGAAATTGCAACTATCTAGGATTAATATGATACAGAATGAAATTGCATCATCTATCATTCAAGGGTGATGCAATTTCATTCTGTATCATATTAATCCTATACCTAAAGTTTTATGCAACTATCTTATCTCTCTGACATCAATGTACCACACAAGCAAGACAAAAAGAAATTTTCATACAACATCACATTGATTTGTAGAGAAGGGAATTCTTCAAAGGATGCGTTACGCAAACAATTTTGAATAGAATGATGACACACCACCGGACAAAGTTAAAGATCATATTGGCTGTGAATGATGAGAATGCACTTGTATACTCTTCTAACAAAAATTACCAAGTCGTTCATGCTTCATAATATAAATTTAATTGTTTGTATCTTCTTAACTACATATATTACGACTACAATTTTCATATTTCCCATGCAAAATAATTTCAAAAACCTAACTAATAAATTCAACATTCACCTCACTTCACTATATTATTCTCAGCCAACCAACAACAGTGAGATTGCAGAACTAATTTCCTTGGGTTTGACCTGCTCCCCCGTGCCAAACGGCTACCCGTTCCTACTAGCAAGCGGGCCCCTTGGAAGAGCACCAACCCTGATCATCCTTGGTGTGGTTCTCTAGTTATGTGGTCGAGCACTGGCTTCAGAACTACTGAACACACTTGTCATATTCAAAGAATCAACCCTTGGAATTGGAGGATTACCAACCCTTAGCCTCGTTGTGGTTGTCCAGTTACGTAATTGGTTGCTGGCTTCAGAACTACCAGACGCATTTGTCTCGTTCAAAAAATTAACACCTGGACTAAAAAGGATTACCAGTTCTCAACATTGTAGTGGTTCTCCAGTTAAGTGATTGGTCACTGGCTTCAGAATTACCATAAACACTTATTTCATTCAAAGCATAAGTTAAGAAAAGCATCTCAAATAAAAAGGGGTTAATCTCAATTTCCATGTGCAGAGTGTTGTACTATTGATCCTTGACCTCTGGCTTCAATGCATTCGACAAGTCCTCAATGGCCTCATCCAAAGACATCCAATCATTCCATTCCTCTGCAGACTCCAACTGAGATGAAACAAGGATTAATTCCTCAACGGCCCCATCCAAAGACATCCAACGATTCCATTCCTCTATAAACACCAACCCGAATGCACTAATGATGTCCTGCAAATCTCGTTCATGCTCCAAGCTCATCTAATCACTCTGGCGCTTTGGGTCATCCTCTGATGATTGCACAAAAGGATGTTTAAGCCTTGCATGCTTCCTTAACTCTGAATAAGTCCTACTAAAATCATAGTTCTCAAGAGAACAACTCCTAGTTTTAGAATTCATAAAACTATGAGCAAGTTTTATAACAATACACCCGTTAATTTGACCCCGACAGAGTGGGCACGAAAGCTTTGGTTGGAATTGTCTCCTATGAATCCTTCTTGGGATGATGTTTTGTCATTGTTCTTCCATTCCTCTGTGATAGGCTGCAGCGTAAAGAGGAACTTCTTCTTTAGTAAGATATGATGGAGTAGTGGCTGATGATTTGCAAAACTGGTCGAAACAGTTTGAGTGACACTGGCTTGTGTCGCACATGTAAGGGCAACATCCCTTCTCGTGGGAAGAACAGGGTAAGAGGATAGCATTGTGAGGATGCTCCATGCAAATGGGGCATCTAACTTCTTTCCATTCCTTCTCACCCCCCAACTAATTGTAAACGAATTTTGGGTTTGTATTGCTCATTGTTCTTAGGGTTGCGAGCATATAGAGATGCTCTGCACTACTTAAAAAATTTTTGAGGAGAACTTTTATCTTTCGACATTCTATTCTGGAAACTAGGACGCCACTGCAACCAAACAAAAAATAAAATGAAATGAGATAAAATTAGAGAATACACTCAAACAATCCCTGTATAGAATTAAGAATAAAAATCACTGTTTTTAAAATAAGAAAAAAAAAAACTTTTTAGAGGTTTCAAAATTAAGTGCCAAATTTAGCATAAGCTTTGGCAATGCCAAATCTGCTAGATCATTAGCATTCTCTCCCTTGTCCTTTCCCAGCAAAAACTCCCCCAAATAGAAAATAATATTTTGGGTAAATTATAAATATACCCCTTGAGATTTAATTAAAATACAAATCACCCCCTGTAGTTCTGGAAATTACATTCCATCCCCAGATGTTTCGAATTTCATAACAAATTGCTCCTTTTATTAATAAATCATCAAATCAATTAACAGTTTTTAATGATGTTGGAAATATGTTTCAATTACCAATTTAGGTAATTTTTTTAGTGTATAGGAGAGAAATTACGAATTTTATTTTTTTTAGTTAATTCTGTTAAATATTTTTTTTTAACAAGGGGGCGTTTGTAATTTTCCAAATCACAGGGGCAATCTGTATTTTAAGCAAACCTTAAGGGTGTATTTGTAATTTACCCCAAGCAAATATATCAAACAAATTTCAAGCAATCTTAACAAATGTCAAGCAATTTGAATCAAATTTTAAGCAATTCTCCATCATCAGAAGAAAAGAAAAAAAAAAGACTATTTCAGAAAAATAAATACCTGGACTTGAAGATGCGTGACGGATTTCAGTATCTGGTTACTTCGTTTTAGGGTTAGGGTTTGTGTAAGGTTTAGGGGTTTCGACTTCAAAGAGTTTAGGGTTTAGAGTAGAGTAGAGTAGAGTAGAGAGAGAGAGAGAGAGAGAGAGAGAGAGAGAGAGAGAGAGAGAGAGAGAGAGAAAATAGCAAAGGTGGAGCATATATAACAGAGTGAGAGAGAGACATGTTGACAAAGATGGAAGAGAGATGGTGGTCGAAGGAACTGAGATGGAGTGAGTTTATAAGATTTAGGCCACGTTTGTTTGGCGGATTAAGTTGGATGGAATTGTTAGTGAGAGGATAATTAGTGAAGAGATTGTAAATATGATAATTATTAGTGAGAGGATTAAGTAAAAGTGTGTTTGTTTTGAAGATAGTATTAGAGATGGTTAGTGATGGGATTGTTAAATTATTTTTATATAAAATAAATAAAAAATTATTTCTATATTAAAAAAAAACTAAAACAAATATTAAAATAAATAGGTGCATTTAGTTTAAAAAAAATTAAAAAAAAAACATTTTTATATAAAATAGACTCAATCCCACCTACTATTTTACTAATCACACCCAAAATTCATCCAATCTAATCCACCCACAGAGGGGGATTAGTAAGAGGACTATTGCTAGCACCTACCTCTTTACTTTGACCCCCCACTCTTTTATTTATTTATTTATTTTTCCATTTTTGTCCAAAAATGAAGTTTCATTTTTACCCTCATCCCTAACTTCTAACCCTAATTGCTCAAACCCTAACCCTAATCCTCCATCACCTCCGGCCACCATTGTAAGGGTTTCGTTTCACCAAAAATTTGCAGTTGTCTCTCGTTCGTGTACAGAAATTGAAAAAAACAAACACACGAAGTAATAGCTCAAAATCTAAGCATTCATATAAATTTGCAACCAATTGAAACCGCAAATGGCCGTTTGTAATTTTCCAAGGGAGCGTTTGTAATTTTTCAAATCACCGGGGTCAATCTGTATTTTAAGCAAACCTCAGTAGTGTATTTGTAATTTACCCCAAGCAGATATATCAAACAAATTTCAAGCAATCTTAACAAATCTCAAGCAATTTGAATAAAATTTTAAGCAATTCTCTCTCATCAGAAGAAAAGAAAAAAAAGACTATTTCAGAAAAAGAAATACCTGGACTTGAAGATGCGTGACGAATTTCAATATCTGGTTGCTTCGTTTTAGGATTAGGGTTTGTGTATGGTTTAGAGGTTTCGGCTTCAAAGAGTTTAGGGTTTAGAGTAGAGAGAGAGAGAGAAGATAGCAAAGGTGGAACATATATAACAGTGAGAGAGATAGGTCGACAAAGATGGAAGAGAGATAGAGGTGGAAGGAACTGAGATGGAGTGAGTTTATAAGATTTAGGCCACATTTGTTTGGCAGATTGGGTTGGATGAGATTGTTAATGAGAGGATAATTAGTGAAGAGATAGTAAATATGAGAATTATTAGTAAGGGGATTAAGTAAAAGTGTATTTATTTTGATGATAGTATTGGAGATGGTTAGTGATGAGATTGTTAAATTATTTTTATATAAAATAAATAAATAATTATTTCTATATTTAAAAAAAAACTAAAACAAATATTAAAATAAATAGGTGCATTTAGTTAAAAAAAATTAAAAAAAAAACATTTTATATAAAATAGATTCAATGCGCTCACTATTTTACTAATCACACCCAAAATTCATCCAATCTAATCCACCCACAGAGGGGGATTAGTAAGAGGACTACTATTAGCACCTACCTCTTTACTTTGACCCCCCACTCTTTTATTTATTTATTTATTTTTCCATTTTTGTCCAAAAATTAAGTTTCATTTTTACTCTCATCCCTAACTTCTAACCCTAATTGCTCAAACCCTAACCCTAATCCTCCATCACCTTCGGCTGCCACTGTAAGGGTTTCGTTTCACCAAAAATTGCAGTTCTCTCTCGTTCGTGTGTAGAAATTGAAGAACACAACACGAAGCAATAGCTCAAAATCAAAGCATTCATACAAATTTGTAACCAATTGAAAGCCCAAGTGAGTATATGCTTATATCAACTCTCTCTCTCTCTCTATATATATATATATGTTTATATTATCTTTCGGGTCTACATAGTGTTGTTAGGAGATATAGGCAGTGGCTCACGTTTTATATGCTTGCATGGTTTTCTTTTCATTGCTTTCAATTATTTGGTTAGAATTTAGTCATCTTAGACACACCTTGCAATTATTTGGTTAGAATTTAGGTTCATCCTGAAAATCTCTTGTTTGTGTTGTAATGGCATGAATGAGTGATTAACAGATGGGGAAAATAATCCTGTTGAGGTGTATGTACTGTATTCTACTGGATAGCTTTGTATTTCTCCCAACTAGTAGTTGGCCTTAAATGTTGATTTATTCTTAACCCATATAATAATGGGTTTACAATATCAGGCTTGTAATTCTGTGATCTTGTTTGATGAGTTTGGTTAAGTCATTTTTGTCAACTTGCTGAGTGTAAGACTGCATTACAAAACTCACTTTTGGGCCCTTCTGTTGGCTACTTGGAATGTGATTGACCACGTTCTTGCCCTCCCTTTCCTTCTTTTGTTGGTGCTATAAGCCCTATAGTGACTCCTGTCACGGTTCTGAATCTAATCTCACAAAGTGCAATGTAAGACTGATAAATCACCAAAGAGTCCAAATCCGACAAATCGTTTTGAAAAATCGATTTTAATCAAAAGTGCCAAACATGGACTGCTTTGCCAGATTTTAGAGTCGCCACCCAAATGTTTTGTTTTTGGGAAATTTAGGAAACCTTGACTCGTGCCTAAGGCCACGTGTCCGTCATCACCAAAGTTGCCTCGGCTCAGGAACTTGGGTACGAGAGGGGAAGCCTGAAATGAGCACCCTCGCTCGCCCGATCAAAGATCGACCTCTACTAACATGATATGTTATTTTTAAAAACACATGCATTCTTATTCCAGTTTATTAGCTAGCTTACTATGTGATGCGCACAACATAGAAGTATAGACTAAATTGATCGATTTGGAACAAACATCTCATGTTTGTTTTTCAAAAATGGTTTGAAGTTGCTACTCGCAAGTAGGCTAAAACGCGGATTTGCCACCCTCAAGTGGGCTTAGAAAAACATGATTTTGCCACTCTGCAAAGTGGGCTTAAAACGCACAGTTTGATGAATTGTTCCAATTCAAGCAATGAAGCCTTCATCCACAGGCATTCATGCATTTAAACACATAAGCACATAGCCTCATGGCAAGCATGCTATCATGGCAGTCACTTACACACATGCAAGGATGCTAAAGCGTAAACACTTACCGTGTACTCCGAGCCAAAACAGAAACTAGTTAGAAATCATGCATGATCCTAGCAATGTTAAGATGCCTAATGCAACACATGCAAAAATGCAACTAAAATAGGCTCGGCTATCTAGAATGGTATATGAATGCAACACTTGATAAAATGCTTTGAAACACGTATTCAAGAAAGTGTATTGAAATACAATGCAGTTTGAATGATGCGCCGAGCCCGGTGCATGCAAGACGAATGAATGATGCACGCATGCGAAACATAAGTATGCTAATTAAAACATGCCCTAAACTAACCATCGAAAGCTGATAAGTAAAAGGAAGAAAGAAATGGGGTTGGAAGACATGCATCAAACACACGCACGCTTATTACAACATTTTCCCTCTCGACGGAGGGTCCGAATAAAAACAAAGCTATTCTAAGCTAAGCTACTTAACTAATCTAATAATCTAATTTAGACTAAATATTACACAACCGAATCGAATAACTAGCAAACCAATTACTAATTATTACAATACTTAGCCAATTAACAAATTAACTAATTAAATTACAAATTGATGCTAACTAACAAGTAAGCATTAAACTAACCTACTCCAGCTCTGTTCGAAGAAGAAGAGGATGCATGCTCGGTTGCCGCTCCGAAAAGCTCTCTGGTTACTCTCTTGAGGCTCTATTTGCAGGGTGTCCTCAAGAACTAGCTGCTGAAACTTACCAAAACAAGGCTGGGGATTGCAACAGTGGCCTGCCGGCCATGAG